GAAACATCACAGAATCAAAGTTTATAGTAATTTTATATGTTTTTTTTATAATTTTATATATATAAAAATTTACATGTGACAAATTGTGTAACTGATATACAACCCTATTCAATTGATAACCCACATTACAAAAGACTTCCACTTACTTAGTAAAGAGCTTTGGATCCTATTGCAAGATATGTCAAAAGCATATGATTCAGTTAATACACAACTCCTCCAACTAGCAATGCGACGAATCAAACTTCTGGAAATATTTATTATACTCATTGCAAATATACTAGCCAACCATCAAAACCAAGTCATCACTACCCTTGGCAAAACACTAGCTTACAATATTAACGATGGCATTGACCAGGGCAAAACAATCTTACTCATCCTTTGGCGAATCTTCTACGATCTACTTATAAACAGAATTACCAATAAACACCCTAGTTACACAATGTCGGTAGCTTTCCCCACCTATCAATCAACCTTAATACCTCTGTAATAGCCTATACAGATAACCTACATGGGTCGCACCAAATTGTGAAGCAATGACAAACATCCTGGCTACTGCATTATCCTTTTATTCATTTGCCCAAATTACGGTTAACTCGACAAAATTTGTTTTATTTCACAATAAGTTCAACGATACAGAACCCCTAATATTTAATAGCCAATCTATATACAACTTACCCAAATACAAAACTTTTTGCTTCCTTGGTGTATATATCGACCATACTATTCAAAAGAAATATGCAATAAAGAGAGTAAAAAAAGAGTTCACTGCAGAAATTAACAAACTCCACTTCTTAAAGATAACTAAGAAACAAGCAATCTATGTGATTAACACTGTTCTAATGGCAAGACTCCACTACCGTCTATATAACCTATATCTACTAAAGACAGACTGTGATTTTTTAAACTGTCTAAGTACTAAGATAATCAAGGCCAAAGCAAAACTAGCTCGAAGTATATTTAACTTGATCTTATACCTACTCTCCACTTATGGCCTTATAGATACAAACCAACTACAACAAGTACAACACTTATCTATTCTTAAAAACAACCTGAATTCATCAAATGGCCTTATCTCGACCAAAATCCAATTGCAACAACTCCAAAATAACTCATTCTCTAATCAATTAATACTCACATCTAACCCCATATTTAAATATAAACAATCAAAAAGCTTCACAGCAAAATTAATTCTTAATGCCAACAATACAAACATACAGTGGCAGAAAGGACTAAACCCATGGCCAATAGTATATAAATCTGAAGAGCACACCATCAATCCATTCATGCAAAAATTAAAAAACGCAACAAAGATCAAACACCAATTAAATATCCACCATATCCATGATATCAAACAATTTCTCAATTTCAATAACACTATAGTAATCAACTAGACACAATTTCACCATAATATCGGCAAGATCCTTCAGGGTAGAATACCGAAATAGTTCTCCCAACCAACCCAATTGATATACACTATAATGAACAATTTAAATAACTTAATTTATCCCAATTCCTATATCTGGAGACAACAATCTCAGAAGAACAAATGGATTATCACCACTGATTTAACATTTAGAAATATGGTGTACTAAACCAGCCAAGTGTTGAAGATAGGGCTTATGATCAAGCCTTTCAAGAGCTAAAAGATAACTTTTACCAAAAAAAATCACTACAAAATCAGGTATTGGATTCTTGATCACACTACTAATACGCTTAAAAGTTGCAAACAATGCACTCTCCATGACCCAACTACACAAAACACTTACTGCTCCTTCTGAAAACCATCAACATTGTCATTTGCTATCCAGGTTGACTCCAAAAAACAATGGCATGGACTTATATATAACTTCAACCAGAAACTTCAAGTATTACCAAAACCCAACTCCAGCTCTGCTTTACCCCACGTAACCACCAAGCTAACAAACAACTAGCATCAGCATTTAGACAATACCAAGAGATCATATGAAATCATTACTTTAATTACCCATCACAAAAAGAAATTACCGCAAATCTAGTGATATCTTCTATCAAACAAACACAATATAATGTGCCTATCTGCACTATAGAATTAACTAATACAAATACGCACCTGGCAATCCAAAACAAATACTGCCCAAGCATAGAAAACATTACATATATGGCACTCTTTACACTCATTACAATTGCACTAGCAAATGCCCATCTAAAAATTTTAACTAACTCATCAACATTAAACAAGTTAAACAATAAATTAACTGACACAGCACCCACAACTTATAAGCAACTCATTCACTAACTTTTAGGCAAACTCCTACTTAGTATCAGAGCGGTTACAATTTTCAAATACTTATTATTAACATTTACAAAAAAGAAATTTTCAAAAAAACTTAATCAACAACTACAAACACTTCAAGTGGATCTAGACACAAACCAATTAAATACTATTTACTACCAAACTCTTTATCACAACACTCCAACCTTTATTAACACCAAAGAATTAATTAAACAAACCAATATAGCAATTAATATTATCCCAACACAGAGTCCAAAAATGGACCGAACACTACAATATTAATTGGAACCTTATATTCGATTATCTACAAGTAAACAATAAATCTACAAGTCGCTCTACAGACCCTAAAGTATCCAAAATCAAAACTTCGAAATCAAGCTAATCATGCAGAAACTTTCCAACTATCAAAATCTATATAGCCATTACTTCCTCAAATACCAATCACCAGAATGCCAAAGATATGGCTATTCCTCCGAGGATGACACTCATTGGTTAAACTGTGATAAGAATGAAAAGAAAATTAAAGATATAATAATTAACATATTAAACAAATTTACTAACAAATTTAATTTAACAATTAACAACCAGCACATTTTTATCAATAGGTTTATATAGAGCCATTTCTTAAAGAGTCTACCAATTGGAGTTATCCACTTAGAAGGACTACTACCCTTTTCTACGATATCAAACGCTAAACATTTCGCCCCACAATTCTACTATGAACTCACTGAAGACATATACAAGTTAATTTGGCTTCCTAGCCAAATACAAAGTCAATCAAATACAAACAACATCACTCCAACTAACAATCAACCAATACAAAATCAGAACATTCTACTATAGCTAACAATAACAATAGACTTACAAAATAGATTGATGCATATATCCATCATAATATTAACCCTCATCAAATTTAAATCACAAGTCTAGAGGCAGTAATCCTACTAGTATACTTAGATTTGAAGTAAAATAGCTTATCCCTTATTCTCCTAATAGAATTATGTATAAGATAACATGTATTCATATACATAATAGATAATAAAGAAAATGAGGAAAGGATCTTATATAAAAAAAAATAAATAAATAAAGTTGATCTAGAATTAAATTTAGGTGGATACTATGGTATCGTAATTTGGAATATATTATATTAAAATTAGTACCCAAATATTAATCATGGAGGTATTTTATTGTAAATGCTATAAGCAGTAGCTAATAATAACCGAAGAATTAATTATTTAATTAATTATAATTAGTCACTTCTTGTGGTATATATTACTTTCAATAAAACAGTCTCTTAATATAACAGAGACTAAGTAAAACCTCGATATAATAGATTAAGATTAATGAATTTACTAATAACTACAAGAAAGTAGATTTTAAAAAATTTTTCACTATGTGCCCGAGGTATTACATTATATTGAGAGTGACGTGTATACCTATTTTTGCAAATTCAAATATTTGATACAATATTGATATTAAGGTGATTCATAAGTAACTTATTTCGAAAATAAGTAGTGTCAAAAAATATCCTTTTTTTGGTTTAATTTAAAAGCAGAAAATGAAATAGGAGTTATCCAGAGACGTCTGAATCACCTTATTGAATGATTTCTCATACAATTATTTCATTTCAAGCCCTAAATCGAGACTATTTTATATTATTCTACTTAATCCGATTTTTAGTGTTTGAAATAAAATGATCATTATTTTGAAATTAAAGTGAAATAAAATACGATACTCAATTATATTTCGTATAATTTTATTATAAGAATTTAATTTTACTTGTTTTAATTTTAATAGTAGTTAAATAACGGTATTTGCTTTATCAGTAGAATTCTTTATTTTCAAGACACATGTAATCGTAAATTTTGCAGATTTCAGGCATATCACGTGTTTATAATAAACTTATTCTTATTCATAATCTTATTGGCTAGTATTATATCGGTTCTAGTGAAAACTTCACTGGAACTACTAGAACACTGGAAATATCTAGACATCTAGTGAGGTTCCAGCTTCCAGTCAACAACCCTGCCTTATATGGTGCTCATAACACACATTCTAATATAGCACATAATTTATACAATCGATACTCCATAAGTGCATACTCAATAAGTGCATTTCACATGTGCTTTTCCTATAATATTAAGCGCACATAATTTGAACAGTCTACGTAATGTAATTATTTAATATATTATTTATGCATATTATTTTTTTTCATAATACTTCCATAATGAATATTTTATAAATATCGACAATGTATTTATTGAAGGTCAACTATATTAAATTTAGAAATCTTCTCTTATTTTAAAATAAAGCACATGAGTACATTTGAAATAATGCGCAGGTAGGCATTATTTCATGTTTATACGGTCTGTTTATAGATACAATAAAGCCCATAAGTAATAATGAATAAATTATCAGAATTAACTTTCAATATATTTTGAAATTTGAAATTAGTAATTAGTATTAATAAAATAGATTTAAATAGAATATACATGCTGACGAAATTATTTCGGGTTCAAAAACCCAAAATTAAAATTTAAAGACGAAATTGTTTTTGATCTATTTTACTTAAAAGATGAAATTTTTTGACACTTTTTTTGAATAGACGAAATTATAAGGAGTATAAATATATAAATTTTATTTGCTCTTTCTTATAAAAAATTTTAATTTGCTCTAATAGAGACAAAATAGGCCTTTTTTGAAAATCAATTTCAGTGGTATTACTAAAATAGAAGTATTGTATATAAATAAAATATCTATAAGCTTAATTGCTAAGTCTAAAGTTTTTATACACTAATAACTTAAATAGCTTATTTAAGTGCGTAGACTAAATTAAATAAGAAATGTAAATAAGCAGCTAATAAGTTATTAATTAATAAGCTACAATATGTATTTAAAGAGATGTGTACTGTATTATGTAAAAGTGCATCCTCAATGCTTAATTTATCCTTATGCACATTTTCAAACATATGCACTACTATAGTTCAGATTCATAAGATAGACCAAGTTTACTAGTATTTAGAAATATTACTACTTTGTCAATGCTTTGATAGCTGTTTAAAACTTTTAAGTTTAATACTTTATGTTCTTTATTTCCTAGAACTGTTATATTAATGCACAATAATAAATTTAATTTCAAGCTTAGTATTGTTTTAACTAATCTATCAGAAGCCTGAGTGCTTGAAGTTAATGGTTTTTAATTGTGAGCAAATCATGTAATTAAATATATCTTGTTACTAAGTCTTCTAATATTGTGATATATAATATTTAATTTATAACTTTCTATAGTTAAATATGCACTAACAGCTTGATCAATAACTGCACTGAATAACTATTTAAGTATAAAATCTATATTATCTCATAAAGATAGTAAATTTTTAACAAAATATCAACAATATTTAGAGACGATCGATGCTTACAAAGACTAGCAAGCAGTAAACTTTCAAAATTCTAGGAGTATTAGCTTAAGAACACTTATATCTATTGCATTGTACAGGGTTAGGGTCTCATAGCCTAGTGGTCTAGGCACCTAACTCTCCACAGACGAGGTCGACAGTTCAATTATAGCTGGTGGTAATTAATTTAATTAATTATCTCTGTAACCTTCGGGAGCTTTCAAATGCGAAACCCTGTAGCGGTAAGACCATGTGATATATATATTTGGCTAATAAAGAATTTTTGGAAAAAGCCCTAAGCCATGGAGAAGACTGGGCACTGCATGTAACATGGGTCACGAAAGATAATACTGCAGAAGGCTGTGTGTGTGAATCCGCGATTAGCAAAGTAACACCAACAACTCTAAGGCAGTATTGAGATCTTGTTTGGGAGAATGACTGTATGCGGTATATCCAGAAGTGGTGAGAGAAGCAGTGAATATAGTGAGGGGCTGTGGTAAGAGAATGGCTTTACCAAATATAGAACACCTCTGGCACAAAGAAACAAGAAAAACCAGCTAAAAAAAAATCCTGAAAAGCATAGAAGCAAGCACTCTGGTGGTATGAAAATAAAAATGGCCAATGAGTAATGTATCGTACAACCTATATAAGAGTCGTGAGAGCATGATGAAACATAACAAAAGTGCGAGTTTTGGGTTACTGGCTTGTGACAATAATTAAATGAGGTACTTAATTCCTGTTCTAAGGATCTAGACTTCTGTAATACCATACCGATAGGAAGTACTATAAAAGAAGTAGTAGCCTAATTTGGTGGTGTATAACACGAATATCTGGATCGACATGAAATAATATCTAGTATGGTAGCAGGTGGCTTGAAATACGAGTTTTATAACCTGGCAGTACCTGGCTTAAGATACAGATTAGATCCTTAGAGTAGCTCCCTAGAGACACCAAACTGGAAGCATAAAGAGCACCCACTCGAAAGACACCAATTTGGAAATAATATAAGAAATGAATTAGGAGTAATGTAATAAGTGATGAGAGGTGGAAATTAGTTGGTAGACATTGTACAGTAGTATATAAGTGAGATATATATGATATAATTAGGTTTGGGAACCATTCGATAATCTAGTAATTGGTTTAATTGCAGGGCAGTTACTAAGAAGATAAAAGTCTCATATAGCAGGTCGCATATAGATATCTAAATTAGTAATCAGGTAAGCTAATACATATAAAATATATAGATAGTTGTAAATGTATTCATGATATTTGTAACCAAAATACCTTAGCATTAATCTAATAAATAGTATTGGCAAGACTGCCGAATTAAAAAAAAAAAATCTATTGCATTGTACAGTATTTGGATCTGAAATTTCCAACATTAATTGTATCTGTTGGTACTGGGATTCATAATAGACCAGACAAAACCTGACTTGCAAATTACCAAGCTTTGGGCCCAGATTTTTAGGCTCATAATTAATTTGGGCCAA